GAGCACTGAGAGCATCCAGAGCTTACTGGGAGACAAGTGGGAGACAAGTGGGAGACAAGGGTGAAATCATGCGGCCAGGAACACAAGCCCGGAGACAAACTCAAAATCATCCGGCCCGAGCATGCACCCCTTTAAAAGGAGTAAGAACCCCTCACAGGTAAACCTGTTTGGGGAAAAACAAGGCTGTGCAGCTTCCCGGATGTCCCAACATCACCAACCAACGGCGCTTTGGCACAAGCGTAGACTCAGACCCTTCCACCCACCTGCCGGGGCACAGAGCGCCGCAGTCGCCCGGTGTGGGAGAAGGCTCGAATGTGAATCCTTGGCTCAGACCGGACGGATTAACGAGAAAGGGGTTTGCATCCTGAAAGAAACACTCACGAAAAGAGATTAAAACGAACTGGTCGACCCATGTCCTTTCCTTGCCCATTGACTAGCCTCCTTCGTGCTGAATGCCGCACTCACGTCGACCATACAAAGTATATGGATCACGCCAGCCACTCAAATTGATGGTCAACCACCTAGCGAGGTAACCAAATTGACAGCACACTCCCCTGTCAAGGCACTTGGACTTGTTCAAGAAGAGGTCCTTGCTGGCAAAACAACTCTGGGGTCAAACCACTTCAAACCCGCATGTCAAGGAAAGCAAGGTGATGTAGGGGGACCTATGAGGACTGAAGGGCTGCAGATAGTGATAGTGGTTGCTTTGAACAGTTGGACCTCATAACAGTGGCTTCGTGCTGGATGTGCTTTTCAAAGGGAAGTTAACCCACAAAATCACTGCCAAAATGCAGCATCCACAGCGTCCCATCCTTTGGAAGAATTACCGTGCCTCAGACCTTTACGAATCCAAGAAGGAATAACTACCTCCCAACTGGTTCAGACCCAACAAATTCACTTTGCAAAGAGTGTTTCTTCCGAAATGAATGCAGTATCAAGCTTTGGGATGCAGCAAAAGGTTTAGCCCAGTCGATGGTGACGACAGCTCAGCAAGGTCTCTTTGACGATTCAATGAAACGCACTTGTGGACCTGGGTCATTTTACCGTGAACTAGTCTTGAAAGAAGGGATCAACCAGCACCTAAGTGGGAAAATGGTTCTATCTTTTGACTCTTGACTGTGTGTTCGAAGCCCTGGTGTTGCGGGATGTGTGTCTTCAGAAGTCTGCCTCTGCTGTAGGTTTCGTGGTTTCTGGCAACCCAGCCTTGCCCACCCCTTGCTATTGGAGGGCCAGGGCACCATGAAGCCATAGGCATCATCGTCCCCTGCCAGCTGTGGCACGCGGTCGGCCGTGATCCCACCGCCACCGCCAGAGATGATGGTGGTGAAGGAGAAGGGCGGCGCCTGGGACATCTGTCGAGCTTGCCGAGCGGCCCAAAGGAATACCGATGAGGACTGTAAGCCACTTTAGGCTCGGAACCCGCACAGTATGCCATCCGGATGCAGGACTTGGTTTTCACGTTCAAACAACCTTCATAGCCGCAGACAGTCAGATCTACAGTAGTGCAGCGCCTCATGGCTTCCCTCAAACCTTATTTGAGACCTCTTGTCATTCAGCAGAACGAAAAACAGATGATTGCAAGACCATCGAAATGAAATATGTGTGTGTGTGTGGGTGTGATGCTGCTAAGGTTCTTGGCTTGGCTGCTTGTCTGAGGACTGCTTTCTTGCAGAAGAGAATTTCCAAGCATTGATGGGCAGTCCAATGTGGTGTTTTGGAGTCTGAAGTCAATATCCAGGTGTTTAAAGTGTTTTGACTTCAGAACAAGATAGTTTTGTCAAGACAGCCGGAGGCTAGCTCTCTTGCCAGCGTCTTTATTGAACGAGCACAAAATTGTGAAACCTCGAACACAACCCTTAAATCCCTCAGGTAGAGTCCAAGCTTGCTGAGTCTCCCTGCCGTCTTGGTGCTTTTTCCAACTTCAATCACCTCCTGATAATGTCTGTGACCAGAGATGATCAAGTCAATGCCATACCTGTCAAGTCCAAGTTAGTTGCATACGCTCATCCAACAGGAACTTGCTGGGCATACCACACATCCTCTCGCTTGAATTCCGCAATCCATCAGAACTTCGCAGAGAAATTACACATGTCGAACATCCCACTGAGACATTTGGCCATCCGATTCCAAGAGGTGCCTGTGGCCCATCTCTGTCCAAAAGTCAGCCTCGGCTCCAAGTGGAAAGTTCGGACGAGGTTGACCTGCGATGACCTCTTGAAAGGAAGCCGCACCTTCATGTGCACACTGAGATGTCACTCAAAAGGATTGCCCAAAGACCACGGAACGAGGCATGAGTGAAGAGGGTTTTGTTAGAACTCGACTAGACCCAAACTGTTGGGCAGGTCTCCAAGGTCAAATCAATCACTTGATCTCACATCACATGTCGGAACGGAACCCGCGGAAAATAGCAAGAAGCTACGAAACCCTGCAAGTTCCTGAGTTGGTCTGGGGATTTCGAGCCTGCAAGAGTGGCAATCTGGACATGTTCCTGTGGCTCACATTGCATGGGTTGCAGTCTGCTGTGCTCTCAGGTTGCCCAGATGTGTCCTCAGTCCAGTGCTGCCAAGATGCATTGTACTCAGGAGGAAAATGGGAGACCACAATCTGCCAGTCCTGAGTCTCACACAGCATGCCATAATCACAGTAGATCAATCTACAAAACCTATCAACTTGGGATTTTCATAGTTGCAGACACGGAAATCGGAAAGGAGGATTAGACAACATCGATAGCATAATTCCGCTTATGAGCCTTCAAACAAAAACTGCAAATTTTGCCTGTCAAATTGTTCTGCTCACAGAGTTGCTCGACCCACGTTGTTCACCTGCATAATAAAGCAACCACAACTTAGCCATCAACCCACGTCGCATGATATCTGTTCGGCCGTCTCGAATCATTCTGCAATAGGTCGTCTTCTGGGTGAACCTGTCTGAATACCTTTCTCCTTCCAACACCCCACTAATCCCAGATGCCAATAAGCACCAATCACTACGAGAACCTGCCAGGTCGCAGCCTTGGAGAGGGAGAGACGCTGATCAAGCCACCTGGCTGGAAGGTGCCCATTACGCTAAACCAACTGGACCTTCAACCGCAAAACTAGTCCATCCTTTTCAGTCCGTCAGGGCCTCAGGATCCTTGTTCTGTTTTCAAACTGGCACTCAGCGTGTTTCCCGGGCCAGGAGAAAACCAAGAGCCATCATCCAATCCAATGAAGCAGATGGAAAAAAGCAAGGCCCAATGCCTAAAGCCAAGCGAATCACACCTTGTGCAACGTGAATGAACGTCTGGGCCCTGTACACTGAGTCTACACAGCTTACATGCTAAAAAATGCCCTGCCTCTTCTGCACTTCCCAAAGGCTTTCAAACCAGCTATGGCAGGCTTCCCGACTCACGGGTCCTCCAAAAAAGACCCATAGAAGGTGCGAAGCACGTTCAAGCATGCGATGAGCGGTGTTTGCGTTTGAGGGAGGCTCGTGGCCCAGCTCACCAAACTAGAGCAACCCCGTCTTTAGCATCTTTGACATCCATGCTATGAGTAGTTGGGACAGGTGGGAAGTGATCGAGGGCACTATTAATGCTTGGGTAGTGGTAAAAAGACTCACCAAGCAAGAAACAAGTTAGAATTCCAAGATGGTTTCTTCACAAACTGTTTCGCTGGGACTTGCAACTAAGAACCTGTCAAACTTTCGGACACACACACCTGTCCTGTCACAGAGCACCTGGCTCGGTGCTGTGCGAATCGGATGCTGATTCCATCAGTGGGAGAAAAAGAAGGAGGTCGTTCCATTCTGTTGTCACAGTCAAAATTGTCCTGTTCATCTCAATATCCACCGTATCCCAAACGCCTTCTCCACTAGAGAAGGGCTCGTCGAGATGTCTACACACAAGCCCTGTCAAACCTCTCAACCACCGACATCCAACTCGCCGCGTCGGGGCACTCCGCCGTCTTCTCGTTGTGCTTCTCGCTGCAGATGTTATGCCCGTCTTTGGGGTCGGAGGCATTCAGCTTCCAGGCATTGTTCACATTGGTGTCCTCACTGCATGGTCCAAGCAATTTCGATACGAACCCCAAATGGCCTAACCACAGGTCCACAGGTGGGGCATGGTATGGGCTTAACACTGAACACCAAGTGATTTGTTTGAGGTGACGGAACTTGGATGATCCCCCAGACTTGTGGATGGTTTCGCAAAGGACTATCGACAGTCCAGCTCTGTAACTTGAACCACCGCACAGTCGCAGCCACGCGGCGACAAAGTAATAGTCGATGGAGAAGTTGACGTAATGAACTTTCACCTCCAAGCGAAGCCAGAACAGAGTGCACTGCGGTGAATTCCTGGATGCCATTCCACCCAAGGCTACATTGCAAATGGAAAACAGCTGAAAGTCGCGTATTCTACAAGCTCACCGCTGGTGTACAGTAATCCTGAAACCTTTAAGACATATCTTGGTTGCATCTTCTTGGCTTATCAGGGTTCTGAGGACCTACCGGCTTGACCCCTAACGTAATGGCCTAAATCTACAGTAAATCGATGTTGCAAACGGTCTCTTCATGTTGAGATCTACGCATCCCACTCCAACTACCATCCTGCAGAAGCCCACATGTGCAAAGACTCTTCAGCCATTGAGTTACGGCCCAGTTTTTGCAAAACAGAATAGGCTGCCCATAGACCACCAGCTTCTCATTCTTCTTTGTGTCAAGTTAGCCTTTCCCAAATATGAACTGAGGAGGTACTTCCACAAGATCTTCGCCTACATGTACCAAAGACCTTTGATTAAAAAAACAAAAGGCACCTGTGTTTGCCTTTTTGAAGGGGCCCTTATGTTCCTTCCTTACGAACACTCATCCGCTATTTCTACAGAAGCTTCGACGACGGGAAGGAGAAGCTTCTTTGGCACCCGAGCCTGCCAATATTGTGCAGGTGTCATCCACCGTCCTGTGCCTTGGCAGTGATCCCGTCATGACACGGACCGGCGGTTCAAGATAGGTACAGTATATCTATGTCTATTTCTGTCCCAGATTCAGAGATAAGTCTTCCTCTACATCTACCTTTTATAGCCTGTGACAGGTCGTCAAACCTGCAACTTTGCGCCCAGCACACACTAAAGGCTATATTGCAAACCAGTTCAAGTGAAGTGAGGACCAATACGAACTAAGCAGCTGGGTGCTTCAACTTGAACAAGAGGCCTTTCTCCACTCAAATCTGCAATGGATGATCATTTCTGTGTTCCCAAACTTTCAAGTGAAAGAGACAATTTTCTTTGAGCCATGCCTACAAAATATTTGAAGTCTCAGATTTAGTAGACAAGAAAAGCTCCCTTCGTCCAGCATTCCCGCATCCCACCGCATCTGAACTCCACCCAGGACCATCAAAGCACGTTTGCTTCGAGCAGCTCTCGTGTCCAACCGCCCAGGTGTAGAAAATGCTCTCATGCCACCCAGACGTGAACTTAAAGCCTCTGCCACCAACACTGCGAAGATCACAGGGGATGGAAAGGAGGCCCCAGACGTGAATTCCGAGGTTCAGTTTGGGTGCGGATCAAAGCCAAACAAAGGGTGAATGTTGCTGGCGGGAGATTGCTACGAAGCACTGTGCTCTCGGCCAGGTTTGGAATCACCTGTACCTGATCGCTTCTTGTGAAAACATCCTGGCGAATCAGGCGAATCCCACCCAAACCACCCGCCTCCATAATCGTGATTGCCTAGAATCCCCAACCACTGCTTTCCATCCAATCCTCCACCTGCGAGATCTTGTTCAGATCTTCAATCCCAAGAGCAGCTGTGACAAGCTAAACCGGCAACAATTTACCCCAGCAAGGTTTGAGTGAAGTGCATCTCACAAACTACGAAAAGATCCTCTACTTTGTGGCTCGTCCCACCTTCGTACATTCTCTCGAAGATAGGACCCCACCTCAGCAAGAAACCCAGACAGCTGTGACTCAAACAGCTGGGAGCTGTTTAGATGGCCGAGAGCCACTATCACTAGCCTCCCCCGCAATGTTTGCCTAAAACCTCCTGAAGCTCTGATTATTGCGATGGCCCAAGGCTCCCGGCTGATTCCACCTGAAACCCTCCTCGAAGGAGTTGTTGTTGCAGGAGGAGTTCACGCCTCCCCAATAGAAGTTGTCTCCTGGATGGAGACTGCTGCCACTCCGGGTTGTGGTTATGGTTTCTCCCGTGTTTGTACCTGCATCACCTCCCATTTGTTCTCCATACCAAACTGTGACTGAAAACACAAACACCAATCTCTATCAACCAGCTACATCAAGTGCATCAGAAGCAGCGTGGGACCAGGCAGGTTGTGCACGACATTTGGCGCTTCACGTATTCGAAGTGTCTGCGAGACGCCAATATTGCAAATAGCCAACGTTTTGCTAGTGGAAAAACACTCTTCCTTGCCAAAGAAGTATCCCCCAACTACTATCAAAAATGCCAAAGAAGGGATTCCAATTTGACAAAAAAAATTGGACTTCGACTCGGGCCAATCCTTCGATCTCCTTTTCCTGAAAAAAGAATGGAAATAAAAAAGAAGAAGCCGTTGCCGGTGACTCGGGGTTTGGCGAATGATTTCCCAGAGGTGGTCATGGTCTACACTACACATCGCTCCACTCGTCCTACGTTGATCACGTAGTCTGGCGCATCGTAGAACGACAAGTTCAGCATCTGCGCCGCCACCCGATGCCTCGTCACGGTCTCACACGGCCGAGGTGGCCCAAACCAAATAGACACGATAGACCCGATAAGCGCTAGGGGGGTCGGTGTTTCCGGTTTACTCTTGATATCAAGATGTAACTGGAGTAAGAAGCTCAACGGCCATCAACGCAAAAAAAACATCCCGAAGAACCATGCCACCACGCTGCTGCGCATAGTCATCAACACCGCTGACGAAGCTGCGCACCCGTTTTGGGAAGAGGTGGGAGCGGTGGTCCGCCGGCAGGATGGGCATCTCCTCCTGGGAAACCCAAACAAGCTCAATCTGCACGGCCATACAAGTTATGGGATATCATGTGATGTGTCAAGTTAATCTTGGTTGACGATGCTGCGTATGGATAGAGAATGCTGTGATCTAATTAGTTGGCAGATGTTGACAGAGCAGGTGGCAAATCACGCCCCAAATGTACTACCACAAGTGTGTGATTTTCCGTCCACTATGATCCCCTATGTAAGACCACGGGTGTTTCCGCTTCAAAAAGCTCTCCACCGGTCAAACCTTGCTGTGAAGGCCTTGAATCTTCTGGTTTCGTGAAACCAATCGTTAGAGTACTTTCAACTGGATCGGGGCTGTGGAGCTCGTGGACTTCGATTGACATTCTTCGGTTTGATGCTTTCTTGAGGATTTTTCTGAATGACATACACGACGGCTTGTAGCCTTTTTGCAACACGGTGTTTTTGCAGATTGAAACCAGCAAGGGGAGGGTGGAATGTGCATGGCTTTGAATGACGCAACCACCCAGTCCGTGTATTGGACGCCGCCCCAATCACCTTGGCAGGCAAAGGCACATTGCAACAACGCCTTTAAAGATTGAGCTAGTTGTATTTGAACGTGAAGAAAAATATAGCTCGACAAAGCCAAAAATACCAAAGAACACGAAGCTATATGTTTCTTCACGTTTCCCCGAGCTCGCTGGCTCCTTCTCCGCGTGCAGAATGCATCTGAAATGTGACACTCTTAAATTTCTATGAGGATAGGCCAGTTTGCAGAAAAGTTCGCATAAATCCAATATGCTTGCATAAATAGTCCTAATGCAAAGAAGGGCTTTCCCTGCCGGCTGCATCACCTGCATGTGTTCCCGACATGCAATTTTACCGGAGGAACTCCCAATGTCGGCTTCAAACCTTTCAGCTTGTAGTCATCCATCATCCCTATTGGCCTATCCACAGTTTTGAACAAGGGTAGAATTCCAGCGACAGTCACCAAGACACACTCGTACTCGGAACAAACTTGACATATGAGATCTTGCCCAGCCCAGTGGCCGATGACCATGACGTGCTGGGACGCACTCCTTAGGTCATGCGGAAAAGACTCGCCACGCCAGTCGGTCGCTCCTCAACCAAGAAATTGGGTCATGCTTTGAGGGTGGTGAGTGCGCCCTTAAAGTTCGGGCTCACTTGGATGGTCCACGTTGGCTTACATCTGAGGATTGGGATGGAACTTCGGGGAATTGTCCAAGCAAGTGACCACGCGCGCAACACCGAAACATACCGAATCCCCATTCTTCCTTAGCCCTGTAGCCATGCATCTGCCCAAAGCAGGTGTCCCGCAGTGCCTTGCGGAAATCGGGGTCTCTGGAGGGCTTTAATAAAGTGATGGGAAAAGCTCTGGTTAGTATTAGGCTTTGGGAGGTCGTCTGAGAGACCATATTAAGAGTCTGTAAATGTTTCTAAGCCCCAGCACCAAGCCCGACTTCATGAGAATGTGCCACCGGCCTGGCCGTTGTGCTGCATGGGGTCCTTGGAGGGCTTCGGCGGGGCTTCGAAGACATGCTGTGCGCAGTCGCTCCGCCGATGCTCAGAGTCCTTGGCCAGAAAAGCAAAGCAGCACACAAGCAATCTGTAGTATACAAATATGGGATCATGGCATCTCTTACTGTTGAGGATCTTGGGAAAACCAATCGAGACCTTTTGAGGATTCCATACATCAAGGCCCCTTCTATCTTTGCAGCCCCCACCTTCGCACCCCTCACCCCTGAGGAGGAACAACGCCCTGCAAAGCAGGTGAAGATGTCATACTACGTGGGGTGGACATGCATGGAGTCCAGAGCAAAACCCGCTTGCACCAACTGTTCAGCCTGCCCAAGCATGCCCAATGAAGATAAGCAGCGCCCACACGCGACTCCGCGCTCCTGGCACTACGTACCCAACAGCATCCATATATATATATATAACAGGCTGGAAGGTTTTGTAGTTCCACGCACCAAACCTCTTTATTCATATTCTATATTGAGGGTGAAGCCCTACATTGATACCTGTCGGGCTCGTAGAAAAAAGAACGCTTAACTCGCTTAGTGTGCCCCATCTTTAGGTCTCTAGAAGAACCTTTGATTGTGGTGCTCCACTTCAATCCTGGCAAAGCTTTCTCTTCTCATCCTGCCTTGTGCAAGATGCCAGTGCGACAGCCAGTAGCCATCTCATGGCTGAAAGAGCACTGCGTGCGTAGCTACCCTTTTTTCACCCTAACAAAACCTTCCAGTGAGCACTCCCACGATGGAGAGGTAAACTGCAAAATGTTTGCTTTGGTTCAGGCGTCGTGCACAGGTCTTCTGGCTGCAACTATTCACACCGATGTGGCTGCGGTCCTTACACATCTTCATCCTTTCCAAGAAGAAGATAGTTCCGTCAGTAAGACCCTCAAAAGGGTCGGGTCTGTCTCTCTTCAAGTTCCTGAGGGTTGGATGATTGGATCTTCCAGTAAGCTGTATTTATATACCAAGAAGAAGATCCCGAAACAACCGAACACCCATAGGTCTGCCAGATAATGTAGGAATGTAGACTGCTGCTAGACTCTTCTTGGTCCAATCCTACTAGCGGGCCCAGGCTTGGGGCAAAAAGCTGCAACAGCCAGGTCGTCCAGGACCACAACATTGGGTCAACTTTGAGTCAACTCGTTATTTTGCCATATAGGGTGGAGGCCATCGCTAGTAGGTTGGAGGCCATTGCTATTACAGGGTGCCTATAGTGAACCAAACTCTCCGGGACCCTCCCAAGCACCGGCCGCTGACCTCCATGGCTTCTCGTACGCTTCCGCTGGTCTGCGAATGGAAGGTCTCCACCATTTCTTCCACCTCGGGGTTTTCTGCAATTTACAAGAACTTCACTCAATTTTTTCTCTTAACTCTTTGTGTTTCCTCATCTGTCTCATCTGTGCAAGTCCCTTTCAAGCCTCAACAACTCTGAGCGCAGTTCATCAGCTCTGCTGAAGATGGCCTGGTCATCAGACAACCTGGCGACGGCATAGGGCGTGGCTAAGCAAAACGTAGGGCCGACAATAGAACGAAGCTTGGCTAAGCAGGGCCTTGAATGAAAAATATCAAACCATTTAGAACCAAAAATGAACATTGTCGCTTGAGAGGGTAAAGTGGTGAAGTTAATTTTAGATATTGGCGAATCTGCTTGTGCATAGAAGCCGACCTCCAGTCCACAGAATATCACTACGCTGCCCCACCCCGTCCAATGACTCCTCGATCCTGCTTTCCCACATGGGCCTGTCTGAGATGAACTCGCTTTTCTCGAGATCACGTTCTCCCAAGAGTCGTTCTCGCTTGGCTGGCGCACAAGAAGCGCTTGGCGAGAAAAAGCAAAGAAGAAGTAAGTACCCCCAAACAGGTCAGGTCATTCGACCTCCTTACGACCAAGACATTTCATAATTCAGAATCCATTGATGATAGTTTCCCCCTGCCAGGCCTCCACACTTTCAGGAAACATGTCTCTGATCTCCCGATGTTCATCGAATCCCTTTCACCCCAGCCGGCCTTTGAAGTACGAGATGAATCTCTGTACCTGAGCCTTGTTCAAGTCGCTCAGTTCCTCAGAGATGTCAAAACCCCTCCCTAGAGCTTTCATTGGTGCGAGAGGATGCAGCTGTGAGACAAACTAAGCCAAATTGTAGCAATTTAACATTGTCTGATGGACTTTCCATTCACTCTTGGAGGCTCGCTTGGGAATGCATAAGTTTTCACACTACTTCCTCTCAACAATAGCTCTCTCGCCAACCGGCCAACCAAGCTACTTCCCTCTAGTTTGCGGGGTGCTCTGGGCCCATTGGGATGTACCGTCCGTGCTCGTTGTCAAGACAGGACTGAGTCAGTGACAGTCATGAGGGGCTGCCTAGGGTCCAACACCGAAAGATCGATCGACTTTCTTCCACACTAATAAGGCCGATTAGGCCATGGACTATATAAACCAAAAAGAAACAAACATCTCAAATTTGGGTCGGTCAGCATTTCTTGCTAGGCTACTTCAGGTGAAGCTGCGATCCAATTTCTGAGAACTGTCTTAAAGGCCTAGTAGATCAACGTTGCAAATGGGCAAGTGAAAAGAGTAGCCTTTAGTTTGGGCTGCTAGACTTGATGACAGAAACTGACACTGCACAAGTGGATGCGGTATCCTAAGGTCATCTTGAACACTGAGTGAGGACCTCGCCCACTTTCGGCCAGCTTGGCCCCCCTCCGAAAGTGTCAGCTTGAACCAATGGCAGAAAGGGTGACAACCGGACAGTGTGCGTCACAGGTCTGAACTGTAAGCAATGCCACATTTAACATGACGGCTGTGAATTTCGTCATCAACTTGCTTCCGTGTGCTCCGCGAAAACAGACTTCTTTCCCACTTTTCACACAGTCCATGCGTGCCCTGTGACACAGTCACATATCTTCAGCGAGCTCGACAAAAGTCCTTACGTCTGTATGCAAGCTGTTGGCGTTTAAGGCCGCAACAAAACCGGGGCAATCATTCTAAGACCCCAAAGCATGGCCAGGGACTAGGAACCTGAGTTTGTTAGGGTTGCTTCCAGCAGGTGCACAATAACTTCAGTGACATTGCCTCTAAAATGGCAATTCTGGCATTCATGAAAATCCTCTCCCTCAAACTCATGCTCCGACTGCCTCTCCACACCTCCAATGACCGTCTTCCATTTGAGCTTCCACCCTTTAGGTGCAAAAAGGGAAATGGAAATGAAGCGGCTGTGGCCGGCCAATTTTTGGGCATTAATCCTCACCTGAAGATCTGGCACATTCATTCGGGTGAACTTCTCGCTCAAAATGGTTTTACCATCCACGCTGAAGCTCTCGCTGGTCAGCTGTTCTGAAAAGTCCCACTGAAAGGGTTTTCTGGCATTTGCCCTAGCCGGCCCTAGCCTCAGCCTTCTCTGAGAACGTGCGTCCCGTGACTGCCCTCCTATCAAGCAAAATAGTTGTCCGCAGAGATGACAGCTGCTCCTGGCAGAATTGTGGTCTCTTTTCTTCCACAAGCAAACAAAATGCCAGCCAGCATAGAGCATTAAGGGATCCAGTGGCAAAATAGTCAGTCTCATATCTCAAAAGTTTTTTTAGCTTGCAACGGACACACTTAGAACAGCATCTCTACGCATCTCTGCGCCTTGAACTCGTACAAAGTCTCGATCTTTTCTTTGAGATCTTGCTGGCGCTTCAATATAGCATCATCCTTTGGGAACAGCTCACGCAAGCTGCTCATTTGGTCCTCTCTCCAGGACTCTTCCAGCTTCTTTGCCAACTTGTCCAACATGTTGAATTTCACGAGTTTGGCCGACGTTTCCACAAAGTTCTTTATCATCTGCTTGGTGTACACATGCAAAGAAGCACAGATTTCCAAGGTTGCCAACTTCCGTGGCTCTTCCTTCGCTTGCTTCAATAGCTCCAAGAACTCGGAGGGCAGTTGCCCCTCTGCTCCAAAATTTGCGGCCAAATACTTTTTGGGGTCGTTGTTTAGCCAAATACTTTTGCGGAACTCATTCAAGTTTTCCGTGTATTCACCATCTGTGGTAAATGTCACCTCCTGACACTCAGAAATTGCCTTGCAGAAGTACCTAGCCTTGGCGGTAAGTTGATCAATGTGGTCCTCTGCCTTTGCCTCCAGACGGTTGCAAAGGGCGCCACTCATGTTCGCATGCTCTTGAATGACGTGCTGCACTACCATTCGCAGATGCTCACCCACATCTGCAACAAGGCCGTTCACGCTTTTTTCCAACAACCCCTCTTTGATAAAGACTTGTTTGATGAAGTTGATAAACACTTGGGGCCCAGTCAAGTTGTCCACGGTGTGACCTGTGACAAAAGTTTTCACTGTGTCATCCACCTCATCGATCATGTCCTCCCCTAACCATTCCGGATTTTTTGAGAGCAGGTCCTGCCGGAACTCCTGAACCATGGAAGCAACCTTTGGAGCAATGGTGAGGTTTCTGTCTGCACTCTCGGCGCTCATGAACTCCCCACGAATACGCCGTGACAAATCCTCCCTGATCTTTGAAATTGTGTCATTGAAGAGGCGAAATTGCTCGACCTCGCTTTCAGGCTGGATCGGGAGTTCGCGCAATTTCTGCTCTAACTCCAAGAGCGTGTGGCGCACTTCACTCTTGATCTTGGGTAGACACTCATCCACTCTGGACTCTTGGACCTTTGCTATTTTTTCCATGAGCCTGGGCGTGCCCCAGAGGTGCTTTGGAATCCTCTTCAAGAGATCACTGGTAGTGAAGACCTTCTTTTCCTTGTCCCAAAGATCCTCTCTGCTCATGCCAGCCTCTATGTTCTTCTGCGAGCGATTTACCACGCAGTGGAATCCAAGCTGAAGACGGACATCCGAATTCCTTTCCATCAAGACCTGCGGGCCAAGGTATCGTGGGCAAGGAGGTATCCAAAAGAGTGGGCTTTGCAACGCTTGACCCATACTGACTCTGCTGACCACATATTCTTCAGAGCCACGCGAGTCCTCTAGGGTAAATATGGTTTCCCACCACAAAAATAACAATCTACTGTATAAGTATATATATATATATGTATCTACAAGTTTTTTTGCGTTCCCAATCGTCAAGCAAGCACCAAGCCTTCTCCACAATGTCTGATGCTTCGGCATTCGCTGCATCGTCGCACTTGGTGACAACGCCCAATGTCCGGATGCCATCTGGATCATACTTGCGTGCCAACTTCACCACCTGCCGACTGCAACACTCTCCAATAAACAAAAACCTGTTGATGACATTGCAGCAGTTCACGTACTATGCACGGCATTCGTAGACTGCCGACACTTGGCAGCTAGACTAGACACAAACATCATTTGCCATGTCAAAACTAGCTCACCCAACTGGTGGAGCGGAGGAACCACCTTTCCCAGACTCTTTGTCAGTCCCTTTGTGTACTCGAGAGCGTGATAGGGGTGCGCAAACAGCACCAAAAAAAAAACTGTGCCTCAGCATTTCCGAAGTCCGATGTGGCAGGGATCACACAAAGGATCACCATCTCTTCAGGCTTGATGTACTCCTCCACCAGGCTGACAGTGACCTGAAACAGAGCTGTAAAACTGACAATCCTGGTGTCAACAAATGTTCAATGGCTCTTGCTTGCAGTACCCCTGGGAGCTGCCCAAAATTCACGATCTTGGAGCTTGCGTAGCACACGACTTGAAGAGGATCTTGCCGTTTCAATGTCCAACATGAAAGCAGGTTGGAGGCCATCGCTATTAGGTTGGAGGCCATTGTCATTAGGCTGGAGGCCATCGCTATTAGTTTGGGCCATTAGGTTGGAGGCCATTGTTATTAGGCTGGAGGCCATCGCTATTAGGTTGGAGGCCATTAGGTTGGAGGCTATTGTCCTTGGCTGGAGGCCATCGCTATTAGGTTGGCGAGGCCATTGTTATTCCCACATCACCATGTGGGGTTCTTGTTTTTCGCTCTGCGCCCGCCGCTCCGCCTCCGCCGCCTCCGCCGCCTTCGCCGCCTCCGCCTCCGCCGCCGCCACTCATCTTACACCACTATCTTACACTGCTCATCTTACACCACCCATCTTACACCACTCATCTCACGCCACACATCTTACACTCACCACTCATTCTCACACCACCTATCTTACACTACTCCTCTTACAGCACCCATCTCACACCACTCATCTTACACCACTCATCTCACACCACTCATCTTACACCACCTATCTTACACTACTCATCTTACACCACCCATCTTACACCACTCATCTCACACCACTCATCTTACACCACTCATCTTACACCACCTATCTTACACTACTCATCGTACACCACCCATCTTACACCACTCATCTCACCACTCATCCTACACCGCTCATCCTACACCACCGAGCGCAGATTGCGTGGCAGGCACAGCACGCAGAGCCTTCAAGAGGACTGGGTGGACGCGTGGTCGCCGCTGGGCCGCGGCTGCCTGTCGTACAGATTTCGTGGTAGGCACAGCACTTGGCGACGCTGGAGCGCAGAGTTCGTGGCAGGCGCAGCACACAGAGCCTTCAGGAGGACCGGGTGGACGCGTAGGCGCCGGGCCCCAGCTGCCTGTGTTCTAGATTTCGTGGTGGGCACATGAGTTGGTGAACCTGGAGTGCAGCTTTCCTGGCAGGTGCAGTACACAGAGCCTGCAAGAGGAGCGGATGGACGCGTGGTCGCCGCTGGGCCGCGGCTGCCTGTCTTTTTTTTCCACGAGTACGGACGCCGTGTGGGCATGATGCCCAGGTCATCATTGAAGGAAAGGAAAAACAATCAGATGGTGGAGAAAAGGACAAAGACAACCCAACAACAAACCAAACCAACCAAAACAGAGCCCACCGGCCGAGTCTCCACCATCTTGTAGTCTTTCCTCTGTGCTAAGGTGAAACAGGCGAAACGAAAACTATTCTCTATCAATGGGCCTGAATTCTCGAACGAAGAGCATGGCAGCGCGGGTTTATGCTCTAGCAAAGTTTCCAAAAAGTCTTCAAATGGACTTTACTTCCCAATTACCAGTGACCAGCGGCCACTGCACAGTGTGGCAAAAACCTGGTCACGATGCAGGTCAGGAGCATAGCTATGCTCCTACGCCGGTTGTATCCATGTCAAAATGGATCAGTGGTTGCTATGCTTCATGCCGTGGAAAAACCCTTTCTTGTGGCGCAACCCATTCAACTGGTTGCGCTCACAAGTCCAGAGGCATATTAGTTGGTGATGTGGAAGGTGGCGGTCATAGCAAACGACGAAAGCCTGCAGGTAAGGGTGCGAAAGGCATCCCCCCCCGAAGGGAGGTCATCTCAGCACCCTTCGGCACCCGGAGGTGCCAAAACGGGGTGTCCCCTAACTCTGTGAAGTGCTGCAGCATTGCAAAAAGTGGTCTGTTGCGCGCAGGGCCCGTGTGAAACAGGTGAAACATTGGACCTATCCTAACATGGTATCTGTACCCCTTTGTACAAAATTGGAAATGTCGGACATCAACAGAGGGAACTAAGGTTCCCCCTGGGCATCCTCCATTGCCACTCTCTACCACCCGCCTGTTGGGAACGAGGAGCTAAGGCTCTCATTCCTACTGGCTCACTGTATTGCGAATGGCGAAAAGAGGTTGACGGTCCTACTTAGTGTTTGCGCATTTCCTTTGCCGTAGCTTGTTAGCGGTACGTCTATCCACCATTCCCGCTGCAAAAGTATTGCTGATTTTTGCAGGTCTGGAGAGCCCTCTCTCCATTGCTCACTGGCATCTGCCGACCGCTCTCGGTGTCGCTTGGACTAGACAAGCTACCCTCCTTGGTCAAGGACATATGTCCTTCGCCATGCGTTGTTTTTCCTCTGCTTGTACTTTGCTCGAAAGTGCGGACTGCCTGCAAAGGCGCATAGCGCCATGCAGAGCAGGAGTAAGAGCCTCCTGTAGAGAGGTACGCTGAAGGAAGGCTTCTTTTGCCGTGATCCTCAGCTCTACTCATGAGTTTGGCCTGCTGTGGCTTCTGGCCTACTCTGGACTCGAGCTAAGGCGCGCGCCCATGATGGATGTTAGTGGGCCTGCGATAGCTGTGATCCGAGGCTCGTCTTCATCCAAGACCTGAGGTATATCCAATGTCCGGGATCATATGTAGCCAGGGCGGCCATCTCATATCGGGACAAATGGCGAAAGCATTTTCTTCTGCATAGACTCCTCGCCATTTGTGCTTGCCTGGCATCTTGGCGAGCCTCTTCAAGGCAGTGCAATCCAAAAAGGCCCTACTTTCTATGTATCTTAGCGAAGGCGAGATTGCAAGCTCAATTAGGGCTGCACAGTTCATGAAGGCTTTAACTCGGATTGTATGAAGAGTAGTCGGAAGGAGAACTTCTCTGGGGCTAGTGCAGTGCACAAAGGTGAATTCCGGAATTTCTTCAACAGTGGTGTTGCAAAGGTCTACACTCTTAAGCAGTCGGCAACTGTCACACGCATGCGCTCCAATAGCAGTAAAATGCTTTGGAAGAGCGAGTGCAGTGATTCCCGTAGAGCTAAGACAGCCCGGCGCTAGCTCACTGGTCCTAGCTTGCAGTGTTGACCCTCGGGGGGATGGAATCTCACACAAAGTAACCTCAGCAAGGTTGATGCACCCTTGAAAGAGGTATTGCCCGAACTTGGCTTCGTTACTGAATTTATTTGCAACCCCTTCAGATGCATACACCCATTGTAAGGAACAGCATTCCGCGAAGGCCTTGTATCCAAAGTCTCGGCAACCAGGAGCCGAGACACTGTTTAGTTGCTTGCAGTCACGAAAGGCGTTATCGGAAATGCCTACAACTGTGGCCGGCAGTTTGACAATGCGAAGTTGTCGGCAATTTTGCCAGGCCTCTGCTCCAATGAGCCTGATGCCTGACTCAACACTGACATGCCGCAAACGCGGAACCCCTGCAAAAGCCCCTTCTGGGACGATTTCCTCTGGGTTCATAGGGACATGAACGGCAAGCGGAACCTGATGGATAGGGCAACCGTCGAGTTGTTCCTGTGATGACAAGGTGACACTGCTATCCTTAAAGACAACGGTGTATGCCACGCCTTGCTGTAGCCTGTCCCAGATTGGGTCCTCAAGGTATGTCTGTGTGGCAGTTTGGCGGGGTGTCTGGCAGTCGCCAGGTCTCTCCACAAGGGGACTTCGATGCGCAGCCTCAGCTGCAGAAGGGAAGGAAACGAGAAGGCTTGTCCCAAAGACGGGTCAAGGGCACCACTAGAGTAAGCTCTTTCGGCCCAGGAAGTATCCGGCATTCGGGGGTATCGGTCGTAGGCAATTTCTTTTGTGCGCACTCCCACCACAAGCAGAGGGTTGTCTTCAGCTCCTTCTTCTTTGGGTCGGTAGCCGTAGCCCCCTTTCACCTCTGCGGGCGTGAAGCCCTGCCGCTCCATGGCTACAACCAGGTCAGGCAGGATCTGTACTGGGAGATAGACAAAGAGGTCATTGGTGGGTAGCGTCTGCTCGCCATGCTCCATTCCCCTAACAAAGGACATGATGACAGTTTGCATAAAGGTAAGGGCATCGACATCTTTTTCCTTTGTTTTCTGTGGTTTCCCCTCCACTGCTTGGGCTGTTCCTGTACCCTGGTGTCTGTGTTGGTTGTCAAAGGAACAGCACCTTGCGATGAAGGCAAGTAAGCCATACTGCCAGAAACGGGGGTTTGCATAAAGGGCGAGCTGTTTGTGAGTGATGAAAGGGCATGCTGGGTGTCCACCCTTCACGAATGTGAAGAGGTTGGACAGGGGAGCAGCAAAGGCTTCGCTGATACGGAGAAGGTCTCCGATGTAGGCTTGGTTGATTTCATCAGGAATGTCCACAAAGGAGGAGCCATGGAGTGCTTGCTCTGTTACCCGCCTCCAGAGAAATGTACGGACAAGGCGGTTAATTTGCTTGTTGGAAATTGCAAGTCTCGCCATCGGCCATTCTCGAGGCAGGTCACTGTAGGTCTGTAATGAGGGGAGCGGCACGCTTTGTCCGTCAGCTTCTCTGGCCGTTCGAGCCGCATGTTGATAGTCGTATAGGGCCTGCGTGGCTCTCTGCTCAGATTCCAGTTGGAGATCAGTGGGCAGCAGTGCCTCCACGCTCTGCTTGCTCTTGATCACTGGCAAGGTCAATTTCTGTCATGGTGTGTGAGCGCTCTTGCGTCGCTCCAGGATGGTCAGGTGGTGTCTCAGGGTTCCTGCAAACTGGAGCCTCCTGCCTTTGAGCATTCCGACTGGCCAGGTCTGCCAGCGTGGCCGGTGGTTGCTCGTGCTCGGGGATGCTACCAAGCGGTTGCCTGGACGCTGGAGCAAGTGATTTTCGTAACTTCTTGGACTGAGCTCTCCCTGCACTAGCCTTAGACCCCGGTCTTCGTTTGATAGGGGACTCAGAAGAGTGCGACGTGGGGCTGCTACTTGGGGGTTCCCCGTTCTGTGGGAGTAGCATGCTCCTTGCTTCATCTTCTGCCTCCAGCATTTCGTCGTGAGCTGGATATGCTTCAGGAGGAGTCGGACGGTTGCTAAGGCAATCAT